AGAGAGAGAGAGAGAGAGAGAGAGAGAGAGAGAGAGAAAGGTTTTAATGGGAATTCACGGAGTAGACAAAAACACTCAAACCACAGAAGCCAGTACTAGGGAGGGGCACATTCTGACAAAGAGGCGTGAGAAAATTCCAGGGAGAGCTAGTCCAGTCCAGAAGGGTGGGCATTAACCCCCAACTCTCCACACTCCCGCTCCTTCTCCAGCCGTTCTTCACTCGTTCCTCTGATACCCAGCCTGAGGCCTCAGCTTCCAGCCAAGAGGTGGTGGCTTTCTCTCTGGGGAACTGTAAGCCTGTGCATTTACCTATTGTATTGATCAGAGAGGTTCTAGGGTGTTTTTCCCGACCGTCTGCCAAGGATACATCTTTATGGAGAAGCCTGGAACAGCATTCGCTGTGTCCTGTCCCAGGAGACTGATAACACCCAAGTCAGTAACCAGACACTGGTTTGCCCTTCGATGCACTGCTGTGAACTGAACATAGAATTGATTCATGCTGGGCTGTGGTGCTGAGTGTGTTAACCCCCCCCCCCCCCCACAGGAGGGTCTCTGTGAGTTCAAGGCCAACCTGGTCTACACAGCAAGTTTCAGGACAGTCAAGGCTCCACAGAGGAAACTCGGTCATAAAAAAACCAAACCAAACAACATGGGAGCCCACAGAAGTGGATCTGTTCCACCTTGGCTAAAGGTCAGAGAGTTCAGACCTATTTTTGCTCCTTCAAGGTTGTACGGCAGGATGTTTTGACCTAAGGTATGGTTACCTGATGGTTTGGGTATTAAGAAGGTAATGACTTTGTTCTTTGTATCTTGGTGAAGAAGTCTTTTGCCTTCCCCTCCCTTTCTGGACTGGGCTGTATAAGGGCTATGAGAAATGAAGGCCCGGCTAGTCTCAGTATTTACTGGGTGGCCTCTGTCTGCTGTCTCGTGTCCACTTCTTAATCCTCACTCTTCCCCACAAGGGTGGACGAATGTGCCAGGCCAGACCTGACACCACAGCAAAACCACAACTGATTCATGAGGTGTTTGCATTAATCAACCAATAGGAAATGTTTCTGAGAATAAATAAGAAACAGGACAAGTTTAAATAAATAATTGCTAACTATGAAACTTGCAAAGGCCAGAAGAAAAGAGGTTGGAATTTAGTTGCTGACATGGCACTCAGCAGTGTGGAGAAAAAAAAAAGGAAAAAGGAAAAAAGAAAAAAAACCCTCTTTTTGGAGATTTGAGGGATAATGAGGAAAAAGGGCAGGTGGTGTGGCTGGGAGGGAGAGCATTGTTATTTGTTTTGTTTGTTTGTTTTTGAGACAAGGTCTCACTATTCAGCCCTGGCTGTCCTGGAACTTGCTCTGCAGACCAGGCTGGCCTCAAACTCACAGAGCTCTGTCTACCTCTGCCTCTCAAATGCGGGGATTAAGTGTGTTTGCTGCCACAGTCGTATTTGGCAAGGGCTCCATCACTGAGCTCCACCCTCGGCCCAGAGATACCCGCTTTAGAGGGTGCTTGTGTTGGATAAGGAATTGGCACACATACAGCTTGTGTCCCTCAGGGAAGCTCTGTGGTGTAATAGAAACACACGCGGTTTTGTCAACTCATCAGCTGCGTTTACACAGCATGACCTTCAGCAAGGAGAGAAACACACTTCTCGTGGACACACAAGGGAAGTCAGGGCAGGAACTGAAGCAGGAACCCAAGCAGAGGCCGTGG